TTTTTTCTTTCTTCTCTCTCTCTTGCTTGCTTACATACTCAATTATATCGATACACTTCAACGAACGTCGCATCTCCATATCACTTGGTAATTGCTCCACCATTGCCGTTAAATCCAATCTATTGTAATGAGATCTGAAGGCTTGCAACCAAGCATTATTTGGCGTAAAACTTTCAATAGCTATTGCCTCTTTCACTTCAAATGCCCTCTGTCGTATGATCGATGTATCGATTGGCATGCGAAGATAGAGGGCGCGTAGTAGAAACTCATAGACCACTTTGCCGAGAAAGTCAATCTTCTCTCGACGGCTATTGGAAACTTCTTCTGCTAAATCTTTCGCACGTAGATTCTTGTGAAAGTGCATGATCTCATCTTGATTCGCAATAATTTTCTTTATCTGCCTAAAACTGCAACCAAAGTGATTCGCCAAACGTTGGTAGTTCGGTGTCTCTTTATACAATTTAATTACCATCACGCGTTCCTCCATCGATAATCTATTGCACGTCCTGTTCTTGTGAAAGCCCACTTGCATTTTACACGATTCCAGGGTGAAAGACATGTTGCACCTACATACATATAGTATATGTATGCAGCAGAAGTGGAGAATGTAGCTGGTACGTATGCGAAAAAAACAATACAACAAATACTACTTTACGTATGAGTCAGATAAAGCTTTTGAAAGTCACTTTGCTCTAAAAGGTAACCGCGTTTTAACCAAAGACGAACTCACTTCAATCAACTTGCATCGGATACTAAATAAAGCAGGCGAAGACACAAAAATCAACCCGTCGGCTAAGTGGCTATGACCAAGAGAGGCAATAGTCGGAGAAGCGACGAGTGTTCCTCTCTCAGCAATGTCGTTTAATTCCTCATATATATGTACATATGTACATATGTATGTATGTCTGTTCATAGATGCGATGTTTGTACATATGTACATGCATACATACGTGCATAAGCAATGCCAATCAAGTGAGCACCAGAAATTAAAAGGTTGTAAAATTCGTCGGTTTTGAAGAGCTGAGTGAGTGCTTCGGAACTATTGCGAGAGCTGTGCTGGTGCGCTCACGACCAAGGTGTGATTGACAACTCAAGTTGGCTCTCTTTTAAGGTACTACTATGCCAAAAAATATAAACAAGCGATACAAAATTCATACAAAATTATTTCAATTTGACTTTATAGGATGGTTCTGCTGAGACCAATGTCAAATTCAATCACACTTTGTTGAATATACATATTTTGCTCACGACCGAACGGTCGCCGAACACTTGTGTTAATATAAGGGTGTTCAGATTGTTTAAAAAGAAAATAGACATTTCTGAAAAAAAAGATCGCCAAAAATCGTCAATTTGTTTTTTATAAAAGTCATGAAATCGACTTAACAAATATTTTATTAAAAAAAAATAGAACTTGTTATAACATAGTTTTTAAAACCAATATAATACCTTCAGGGTAATAATAAACTACACAAATCACTTATATGTAAGGTGACCATATTAACCAAAGTAAAATAAAGGACACTTTTTTTCAAATTGATTTGGGAATACGTACATACAACTTGTATGGTAAAAGTAGGTACCTACATTACCCATATCGTAATTTAAATCAAATATTTACCAGTTAATTATATTATTTAATTGTACAAGTTCCCCTGCTGTAGCGGAAAATTAAGCCAAATCCTTTTCAAGGACTTCGCCATCCTTCGCTACCGAAATGCGTTTACCATAATTCATACTGCACGCCGAAGCCAGCACACAGTGGTTCAAAATTGGAATTTAATGTTCATAATGCACCGGAGCCTTCGTTTTTCCAACCAATTTTTACTAAAAACAAAAAAATGTTATTTTCGGTGAACATTTTTTTATAACATTTCAAATTTTTTTTGTGTATTTTTTATTTTTTTTTATTTTGGGAGAACCATTCAATTGTTTTCCACTATTTTTTTTTTATGTAACATTTATTAACTGGAACAGGAGAATAAGTTTTCTTAAAAATTCCTACTTTATCTGCATTTTGCACTAAAAAATTTAATATAATCAAATAAAGGTTCAGAACTCAGGCTCGACTACACCTTTTCCAACAGTATTTCAGAAAAACACAAATGTATTTCAGAAAAGGCCAAACGTATTTCAGAAAACCTCAAATGTATTTCAGAAAAGCGCAAATGTATTACAGAAAAACACAAATGTATTTCAGAAAAACGCAATTGTATTTCAGAAAAGGCCAAATGTATTTCAGAAAACCTCAAATGTATTTCAGAAAAACGCAAATGTATTTCAGAAAAGGTCAAATGTATTTCAGAAAACCTCAAATGTATTTCAGAAAAACACAAATGTATTTCAGAAAAGGGCAAATGTATTTCAGAAAAGCACAAATGTATTTCAGAAAAGCATAGCTGTATTCTAAAAATATTTTTCTGAAAACAATTTGCGTTTTTCTGAAATACATTTGGGTTTTTCTGAAATACATTTGAGATTTTCTGAAATACATTTGAGGTTTTCTGAAATACATTTGGCCTTTTCTGAAATACATTTGTGTTTTTCTGAAATACTGTTGGAAAAGGTGTAGTCTCGAGCGAAGCGAATTAAAATATAGGCGAATTTAGCCGTCTCGAAGAGTGAGATGCGAATCTCTAGCGAATTCGCCGCAAGTTTGCGAACGAGTGGCGAAAATGAATTTCTTGTATTGGCACTAGCGAAAATTCGACATTCGCCAAAGCTGTTAAAATTTGTCGACTGTTTATTTTGTTCGCGTTTGAAAATGGAAAGGACGTGAGTAAATTTTAATCTTATTTATTTTATTTTATTTAATAAAATAAAATTTTCAGAACAAAACGGACAACAACGCAGCAGTTCCAAAAGCTGGTTAGCATGATGGAAAATAATCCAGACGTCGCAAGAGGGATGGGGAGTTTCGGTTCCACAAAGAAGAGCAGGGCAGAGCTGTGGGAGAAGTTCGCTACCGAACTTAACGCCATTGGTCCTCCAATATGTAGCGGACGCTAGTGGAATAAGGTAAGAACTGAACTAATTTGTGTGACCGTAGTTACTTACATACATATGTACTATTTAGGTTTGGTTAGACTACAAACTTAAGCTGAAAAAATTTGGCCACAGGAAGAGGACCGTACACGCAGCAAAGTTTAACTCCACTAGAGCGAACGGTCGATGAGCTGCTCCACCCGCAGGAAGCAGTGAACCCTAGAGGCTCTTCATTTGGCACCAACGTGGCAGAAACTACGGTGAGTGCCAATGAATTAGATGCAGAAGAGCCCCTGGGCGAACAAGCTCCACAAGAAGTGGATTTCGCACCGGGATCATCAACTCCCCGAAATAGAATGACTGTTGAGGATCGAGAATCCATTAGAATCCAAGCATTGGAGAAGCAGTCCGAAATCCAAGATACCCTTTGCGAATGAATTTCAAACATTGAAAAAAAAACTCGACGAAGTTATCAGTGTTGCTGTGGTGGCGGCATACATCGCAATATGTGTTCCGTCAACACAGCCAATCACGTTGGGTATTCCTGATCTGGAGAAAAATTTGCTCCTTGCCTGTTGCTTCTCTTCTGCTGTCATTTCTGTGATTATCGAAGCACTGCAAACTTATCTCTCTAAAATGGGCAGTACCTCCTTTAAAATGAGCGAAACTGTAGGTTGCGCAAGACCCAATTGCTACAGCTTGCTGATAACTGCCATGCGCAAAAAATTTCAGTGCGCAACACAATTTTAGCATTGGCGTTACAGATGAGGACAGGCGGCAATTAAATTTGTCCTTGATTTTGTCCAGCACATACATACATAAAAGCGTCCTTGCTTAGCCGAAAATTCGCTATAAATCTATAATACATATACATATATGCACAAATTTTTCATGTTTCATTGAATAACCTACCTGCACTGGATACTTACACTGTGGACGGCAGCTCCATAGGATTAGAGTAATCTCTAATAAAACGCCACTGACGAAGAAGGTTAGCTCGCGGTTCAACATTATAACTATCCTCAAAATATAAATCTACGTTATAAAACATTTTGCTTTTCAAATTTTAGTTTGTAATAACAAGGAATTCGAAGTATAAATAACAGAAACGTCAAATGAGGATGAACTCATTTAATTTGTTTGAATGGCAACGACGCATGTCCGGCGAAAAAGTTCATTCGCCACTCACAATGCAAATTTTAGGTGTGTTCGCCAAATCGTTTGCTTCGCCAAATTTATTCGCTTCGCAAGTGCAATACCAGCCTTATGAAATATACGTATGTACATAAATAAGCAGATAAGGTAAAAATAAACCTCACGGTAAGATTTGCCAAATGTTCGGGGCTGCGGGAAAAATCTGCGCGCTGCGGGTTTGCCATTATTTTCTTCTAGTTGCGGTTAAAAACTTTGAGATTCTCTGATTTACTGGAAATATGTATGGCTAACAATAAGTTTTCTTATTAATTTTCGTGTATAATAAAAAAAAAACATATTCTGTAAACACGTACATTTGTTATGTAGTATGCATTTGAATTTTTCTTCTACACCTGTTTCAGTTCAGAAAGCTGCAATTTAAATTCAGAAAGTTACAATTCAAGTTCAGAATTTCCATTTCAAATTCAGAATTTTCATTTAAAATTCAGAAAGTTACAATTCAAATTCAGAATTTTCATTTAAAATTCAGAAAACTACATTTTAAATTCAGAATTTCCAGTTTAAATTCAGAAAGTTACAATTCAAGTCCAGAATTTCCATTTTAAATTCAGAAAGTTGCAATTCAAATTCAGAAAGCTACATTTCAAATTCAGAAACTTTCATTTCAAATTCAGAAAGTTGCAATTCATATTCAGAAAATTTCCATTTCAAATTCAGAAAATTACAATTCAAATTCAGAAATTCCACCTGATATTGCTACTTTGGCATCATAAATTTTTTTTCCAAATACTGTAGCCTCTGCTCTATTAATGTCCAGGATTGGGACGTTGGGGACATCTATACTTGACTTAACAAGTGACTTAATTTTAGACCATATTGTCTCTACTGGGTTCAGCATGGGCGAATATGGTCCCAAACGAAGCAAACTTGCCTGCCCATTCGAGTGCTCTTGCACGCCAGATTCAATCCTGGAATGACAGGGCGCATTATCGCATATAGTACCTAAGTCACTCCAGTTGTTTCCAGAACCGCGCCACTTCTGTAAAACGTTACCAATCCAGCGATTACACGAATCAGTATTAAAAGAGCCTCGTTGTCGATCCAGACTTACAACTGATGAAGCCGACATAGCGCCAATAAGATCGAACGACCACGCGTCAATGAAAACAAGCTGTTTCCCGGCTTGTATGAATGTGTTGAGTTGGGTTACATATTCTGCTCTTTTGTTTTTGTTTTGTTGTGAGTTAAGTGTGCATGGTTCTGTGTGAACTTTTTTAAGTGTACATTTTTCCTTCGAGGTAGTTATTAATGGTAGACAATGATAGCGTTATATTAAAATGACGAAAAATTTTCGCCTCCTCCTCAATCCAACGGAGTATTTCATCAATCTGCTCGTTTCCTAGCTTGGTGGGTTTTTTACCTCCCATTGGATCTTTTGTAGTTCTGCCACTCGCCACCCAGGTAAAAGCAGTTTTGTAGGCTATTCCAAGCGATGACGCTAATGCTGGCCAATCCTCTCACCGATTCGCAACAGTAACGATTCTCTCCCGATCTTGGGAAGTGTACCTCTTGTATTTCACTCTTTCTATATCCTCGATGCCTAATAAAAAGATAAAACATATTTACATATATTTATGTGTAGGTGTTTTCACATAACTTAACATAATACTTACTATTAATTTCAGTTCGGCAAATTGCACATAGACTAGGTACGGCTGATGACAAGCTTTCTATGCATTTTTTATGGAGCAAATGTCTACAGGGTATTGTGCGGCATACGACTTTATAAAACATTGTCGTTAGGCATATGTCGTTAGTTATCTTTAAGTTCCATCTTTTTCAAGCGATTTTAATGCATTATTTAAGGTATACCCATACACACTTTTATACATACACTAAATAAAATTAAATTAAAAACTTTGTGACACAGTCGCTTCTACTATGCAACCTCAATTCTTTACATCGCACAGTGAATATAAATTTTCTGAACTTAAATTGGAAGATTCGGAATTTGAATTGTAACTTTCTGAATTTTAAACTGCAACTTTCTGAATTTAAAATGGAAATTCTGAATTCGAAGTGTAACTTTCTGAATTTGAAACAGAAATTCTGAATTTGAATTGTAATTTTTTGAATTTGAAATGGAATTTCTGAACTTGAATTGTAACTCTGAATTTAAAATGGAATTTCTGAATATGAATTGCAACTTTCTGAACTAAAACTGAAAAAGGTGTAGTGCCATTTAAAATAGTTTAACAACCTTGACATTGTTGAATCTATTATCGATTCGAAGAATCCATCAATCAATCACTTGATGTCCCTTTAGATACCCAGTGGATACAACTTTTTATAGCGTATACGGAGTTCAGAGAATCGCCGAAGGTAATTGGTGAAATTCCGCCTATACCAGTAAGCAACGAGTTTTTTAAGGTATTTGGCAAATAGTTGGACCCATCTAAAAAACAGAACGAGGGTAAAACTGAAATTGGCCCAATTTGGCAAGCCTGCTAACAGTGCCGACAAAGTGACACACTACTACAAACCAGAGATGCTTTCTCTTTTATGAGCAAAGAAACCTGCCAAAATTTTAAGCGTCCTACCACCTCACTAACGAGAAAAAATCTACTAATTTTGGTAGGAAAAGCCCAAAACGGCAGCCCTGGCGACCTCTAGTGAAATTTCATTATTCACATTTTTGTATAACATTTTAACCCTCTAGCTACCTTTTTAGTAAATTCGTGGATATTCTGAAAATGGGGTGTATTGGATAAACTCAGTAAATTCAATAGACGGCTTCTCGGTGACAAAAAAAGATTTTTTAAAGCTTTAAATCGAATTTTGGAGGGGAGGAGTAGTACTTTTAGATAACAGGATAATCTTTCTGAAAAAACTTTTTTTCATCGTGTTACAGGGGCTCAAATGTGCCCAAAAACCGTGATTTTTGTACTTTTAGGTTAGAATATCTCGAAAACCTGACGTGATTGGGCTATTCTGGAGTCAGATTCGAATTCAGCACATTAAAGAAAGCACGTAGAGAATTTAATGAAATTTTGTCGGCCTGTGTAATCGAATGTGTGACCAAAATGTGGAAACTGTGACCTACTGTGTCATTTGAATTGTTGATTATCACGTACGTAAACTACCATTTGAGCCTAATTGGTTCGTGCTACACACTAATTTCCTTAGTGACATTCAAAGCTTCATTCTATTTTTAAGTCTCTAAAAATGCGGCAGATGGTAAGAGGTTTTTCACAGCAACAGATCTAAAAAATAACAATTTAGTTATCAGTTTTTTTTTACCTGTAATAGTACATATTTATGAACGTATATACATTTTAACATTTAAAACAATGTCATCTTAACCTGAAATTTTCTTATTAGGCGTATTCATATAAATCGAATATCTTAACTGTACAATCTGTCGAAATTTGTACAAAAATACTTCTTTGTAGTTTAAAGTATTTTCTTGAACCTATATAAAAGTATTATGTAGATCTAGACTTATTTCATGCGGTTAGCTCTCCAATATCGATGGATACTTGAAAATCTGCTCCAGTTGTGTTATCAAGCCGATAGCGCGATAGTTCTCTTTCATCATCGCAAAATCTTCCAACACTTTCAGATGACGCATGGCTTCCGGATAGCTGTGTATATCGGGAAAAGGTGGGGGCGTTGAGGGTTTTAAAATAGGCATAGCAGCAAAAGAGCTTGTGTTGGCTGATACAGTCTCCTCCGCTTTCACCACAGCGCTCTCTACTTCTTCGTCTTCCTCATCCGAATCAAGATCGACGACAATCGGTGCAGCACTCGCGCTTGCAGTGGTCATATTTTCAACACTCTCATGATTCCCGAAATCATCTTTAGTACTGCCATACGCTTCATAATCATCAACGTCATTTTCAGATTTCATAAAATTCTGTATCGCCTTTTCACTATCATTCCGACCACTTCCAGGGGTGTCATCTGACTCCATATGTGTTTTTTCTTCCTTCCCTCCAGCTTGCTTGCTTATATACTCCATTATATCGATACACTTCAACGAACGTCGCTCCTCCATAGAACTTGGTAATTGTTCCGTCATTCCTGGTAAATCCAATGTATCGTAATGCGATTTAAAGACTTGCAACCAATCATTGTTTGGTGTAAAATTTTCAATAGCTAATGCCTCTTTCACTTCAAATGCCTTCGTTCGTATGATTGATATGTCGATTGGCATGCGAAGATAGTGAGCGCGTAGTAGAAACTCATAGACCACTTCGCAGAGAAAGTCAATCTTCTCTCGACGCCGATTGACTATTTCTTCTGCTAATTTCTTGGCACGTTCATTGTGGTAGCGCTTGATCTTATCTCTATTGGCGATGATACTCCTTACCTGCCTTGTACTGCAATGGAAGTAACTCGCCAAACGGTTGTAGTTCGGTGTATGTTTAAACGATTTAATTACCATCATGCGTTGCTCCAACGATAATTTAACGTACTTGCGAGAGCCCATTTGCATGGTGAAAGACATATTGCATCTACATGTATGTGCTTATGTATAGTATACATATGTATGTATGCAGCAGACTTGGAGAAGGTGGATGATATGTATGGGAAAAAACAAAAACAACTTTACGTATGAGTCAAATAAAGCTTTTTAAAGCCACTTTGCCCGAAAACAGTAAGCGCATTTCAACCGAAAGCGACCTCACTTCGATCAACTTGCATCGGATACTAAATAAAGCAGGCGAAGACACATATCGGTCGGCTAAGTGGCTATGATCGAGAGAGGCAATAGTCGGAGAAGCGCCAAGCGTTCCTCGCTCAGCAATGGCGATTTAATTCCTCACATGTATGTACATATGTATGTATGTTTGTTAATATATGCGATGTTTCTATACATACTTATGTATGTGCATAAGTGAGCTCCAGAAATTAGAAGGCTGTAAAATTCGTCGGTTTTGAAGAGCTGTGTGAGTGCTTCGGAATTATTGGGAGAGCTGTACTGGTCCGCTCACGACCGAACAGTCGCTGAATACTTGTGTTAATATGTACATGTATATATGTAGTATGTATATATTGCCTTTTAAATCGTTTGCTGAGCGCTGAATCGACTATGGCGATTTGGCTCGAGAAAATCCGATCGCTGGTTTGAAAGCATGCAAAGTGTTTTAGGAAATAAACAAAAATGTTCTCTACCGTACAATCGTAATAAAATACACACACGCATGCCTACATTTATACCAACATTCAAATTAACAAACCTACATACATATGTATGTACATAAGGGTGGTCCAAAAACAGTAAAGTCGGAATCGTAATGCTCTCACCCCCCTAGGATTGTTCTATATCGAAAAAAGTATACCCCTTTTTTTATTTTGAAATCTAAAAATATTTAGATGTCGCTCAAAGCGCTCAAAGTTTTCCATGTAGGTAATTTTATATGGGGAAAAAGCAACTTTTCGTAGAAATGGTATAGAATCTTGAAATAAATATTTTGCGATCGGAAAACTCTTGTTGTTTTTGAATACTAACGATTTTTTATTGGTCCTTCATTGCATTTTTCGGGGTTTTTGTGGGTTTATGGCAGACCTATAAATTATAGTTGCGATAAAAAAATTGTTAAATATACAATTGGGTGTTATTACTGGGAATCTCCTGCAGATAAGCAGAGTTTTCCGATAGAAAAATATTGATTTTTAAGAATTCTATACCATTTCTACGAAAAGTTGGTTTTCCCCACATAAAATACATGTAAAACTTTGGGCGCCTTGAGCGACATCTAAATATGTTTTGATTTCAAAATAAATAAAATCCTAGGGGGTGAGAGCATAAAAATACCGACTTTACTTTTTCACATGCATTTTTGGACCACCCTAATATATATACGAGTGTACCAATAAAGGTATGAAACTCGTGGTGGTTGCCAGTAGCTTTTAGTTGTTGCTCGAGATAGTCTGATCTAGTTATATTAGTAGTAACACCTAAACTTCATACTAAATATACTAAATATTCGTTGGCATCACTTCGTTTGCGTAATTTCCTGAAACAAGTCTAGAATACCGACCGTTTAGCTATAAAAAAAAAAAATACGGATCGGTAGAACTTTTTACGCCGAATTCAATCATACCAAATTTAATTAATTAATCCCGACGGTTTTACGCTCCTTTCCCGCCCGAGGGGCGCAGTCCGCATGACGTACGGAAAGCAAGTTAAAAATAAAGAAGATAAATATAAGAGGTTACTTTGCTTTGTTTATTTATATTTTTTACTATCACTAAATATTTAAAACCCAAAAACAGATTATAATAAAAAATATATCGAATTAAAGGTAATAACTTGTACTTCCTAAATAATATACATACATAAGTAAATTACTTTAGCATTAATTATGAATGCAGTTTTTTTCATAAAAAAAATTAAATTTTTTGCGTTTTTAGTATTTTGGCTTAAAAACATAATTAAAAACATATAAATTGTTTACATCAACTGAAAGTCAAATTAATTATCTTTATTGTATTGTGATGTAGTTCATAAGATATTAAAAAAAATAAAAAAAAAATAAAAAAAAAATAAAAAATTTAATTTTAACCTTTTATATCTTTTTCTACATATGTAGGTATGTACTTACCGTGCGCTTACATTAGACAAGAAAATTGTGAATATGTACATATTATTATTTACTAAAATATCCAAACAGAAACAATTTTTTCATAATTCTGCGATTTTTTTTTCGATTATGTATTGCCTCTTTTTCCCAAATTAACCAAGACGTGACTGCATTGTACAATTTACTGTCTTTGAAAAATCATTAACAAAAAATCTGCCTACTTCCAGCGAACCATCCGAGAGACTACTATATTATGTACCCCGCAGCAATAAGGCGACCAAACTAAAAAAAAAAACACACCAGTTAATTTTGTGTTTTTAGTGCGTGGTATTAAGGTATAACATACCGACGGCTGAATGGAAGGCCGACCTACCTCGGCAGCCGTTTCGAAAACGGCCTATCTCAGAAAAAAATTTCAAGAACGACCTATTTCGGAATTTTGCTGAAGAACACTTTATTTTAGAATTTCATTGAAGAATACCCTTTTTCAGAATTTGTCTGAAGAACGCCCTATCCTAGTTGACGTTTCAAAAACGCCCTATCTCAACTGAACATATGTTGAGATAAGGCATTTTTGAAACGGCAGCTGAGATATGCCGTTTTCAGGCAAATTCTGAAATAGAGTGTTCTTGATAATGTTTAGTAGACAGCCGCCGATATATAATATGTAGGTCCATCATCCACTCAGCCGTCAATATCTATTTTTAAAAAGGTGTTCACAAATTATGTAGGTTTTTAAGATATTTCCTTCCAACTTATAATTTTATGGGACTAAGGGCCAGTTTCTCAATGTCTGGTTAACACTAACTGCAGGTTCAACATACTTATCGACGTGATCGACTCCATAACATATAACAGGGAGTGGATAACCTGTAGTTAGTGTTAACCAGACATTGAGAAACTGGACCTAAGTGATTGCCCATGAATTTCCTATAATTTACACCTACATCCATTTGTAACTGCTTTGTTCTCAACTTTAGATAAAACCGAATAACGCATTTACATTAAATCGGACGATTTTATCATCTACGGTTACCTCTATTGTAATTTCCTGATAAACATTTTTGTATAATATTTTAACCCTCTCGCTGCGATTTTTAATGAGTTTACTTGGAAGTTCTTCTCTTATAATATCAAAAGGGGTTGAGGTGTTAAAATGTTTTACTTATTTTCCTTTATTTTTTGTAACTGAAATCTGATAAATTTGACTCATTCTTGAAACTTGTTCGTAAATTCATAAACGGTTGAATGTTTGCGATTAAAAAAAAATGAAACCCCGGTAGCAACTTTTGATTTTTTTACACTTTGAATTCTTCGTGATTGTTTTTATTTTCTACGCAGAATGAAATCAAGCGATGTCCAATGATATTGATATTTTTAAGGACCTCCTTTAAAGTTATAGGTTTCCAAAGACAAGAATTAGGTTTAAAATCAATCATATAAAATGATTTGTAAGATAATCGAATTTATGACCCAAAGTGTGGAAACTTTGACCTACTGTATGTAGAAAACATGTGATATGTATACTGGAGCAAAATCATTTTAAGGTTTACTTTAACTCTCATTTTTGTGTAATTTGGTTTGGTTGGTACAACAAAATTTCTAAGTCCGTTTCTTAGTGACATTCAAGCTTCAAGCAATCTTATCTTCAACCTTTTCTTGCAACAACAGATCTAATAAATAACAAAAATTGAGTTATTAGTTATTTACCTGTAACAGTAAATACATATTTATATATTTACATATTAACATTTAGAACAATGTCGTCTTATCCTGAATAATTCTTAACAGGCGTAGTATTTATGTAAAAATCGAATCTCATTACTGTTATCAAATAATGGAAATTCGTTTAAAAATATTTCCTCTATCGATTTTTAATTATCTTCTAGATAAAAATATGTACATACGTATGCATAAATGTAAATACTAGATCTAATTAACTGCCTTAACATGAAACGATAAAAATTCCAATTAAACTATTCAATGCACTAAGCTCTTCAATTTCGGTGGATTCTTGAAAATTTGCTCCAGTTGCGTTATCAAGCCAATAGCGCGATAGTTCTCTTCTATCATCGCAAAATCTTCCAGCACTTTCAGATGACGCATGGCTTCCGGATAGCTGTGTATATCGGGAAACGGTGGAAGCGTTGAGGGTTTTAAAATAGGCTTGCTCGCATCACAACTTATGTTGGCTGATACAGTCTCCACCGCTGGCACCATAGCGCTCTCTTCCTCTTCCTCATCCGAATCAAGATCAACGACAATTGGTGCAGCTTTTGTGCTCATATTTCCGCCACTCTCAATATTCTCCACATCAGCATCATCTTCAGTACTGCCATATGCTACATAATCGTCAACGTCTTTTTCAGATTCCATGAAATTCTG